ACAAGTGGAATATATTTTTCACGCGTGCTCACACACCATTTTACGATGTTCACGTGCGACCACAATTCATTTCACGATATTCACGCGTGTACACACCGCGGTACCTACTAAAATTTCCCCATGGGTAAAGTAGATTGAAATAGTGTTTTCATTTCTTAAGAAATGAAAACACTACTTCAATCTACTCTATTATATCCGAATATTAATAATATATTAAATGAAACGTTTAAAAAGAGGACGTCATTTATATATAAGGCACTTATTGTTTTCTTAATGTTGTGTGCACATCATTTCTAGTCGTTTTTGAAGTTTATATCTGCTATTTTTGCGTGTTCAAGTAAAGTTTGAGAGAAACAAGTAATTACTGAATAAGCACATTACAGTTTCAGTGAGTGAACCAGGAATGTCAACCAAAAAAAGTAGAGGGGGATAAATTTTGGGAAAAAGCGGACTGTTTTTTCTACAAAGGGAAACAACACAAAACACATCATTTGTTGTGTGATGTCACTGAGAAAATTAATGGCACGTGAATATATTCTTTTATTCTGTTTTTTTTAATATTACTATGTCAAAACATAAAATCTAAGGCAAATATCTTTTATTACACTAAAGACAATAAATGATCAAAACGTAATTGTTTACTTCTAAGTACATATTTCACTTCCACGAATACTCTTGAGAAGTTCGTTGTTATTTACAATCAAAGAATAAAACTAGTACACGTTAAGTTTGTATTGATTCTAAGTTCCAATTCTGTGTTCAGTGCTTTTTCTTATGTGAGATTTCCAAGGAGAAACAGTTGATTTTCGATTTAACTAAAACTCGGTAAAAATCATCGAAAGTTGGTGAAAATCGACGAAAATGCAAAAATCAGCTGTTTTCCCCTTGGAAATATCACATCAGAAAAATTACTAAACGCTCATGGTCTGTTGAACTGGGAGCGTAATACAAAAGTGAAAAGTCCATTGAAGACGGTCAAAAGAAAATATCCTGGAAAAGGGGGACATCCTGGGGAACAGATTTTTGCGGAGTACAAATCGCTGAAATTTTTTCTTTTTTGATCATTGTGCGTGTGTAAAAAGAATCTTCTCAGAGACTGATTGTAGTAGTATAAAGATTATGGTATGGTGAGGAGGCTAGATGGTCGAGAAAAGTTCCAGAAAGTAATTGCACTATGTTCTTGAACAAAATACCGAGTAAAACATAATGTAGTCAAGTCTACAAAACTCGCAGAAAATATAGTATTAAGGTACGATAGTTTCCTTGTGTGATGAATACAACACTAACTGATTCGATGCACTTCAGTTGCATGCGATATCTGCGCAATAGCGTTGTCTATTCTGATCTATAGAAGACTAAATCGTAGACGAAAATGTTGAAAAACACAGAAAATTCATTATAAGGAAGAGAAATACTTCACTTTGTTTCCACTTTCTTTCAAAATTTTAAAAGCTTCAACTTAATTTTCGAAAATACGTTAGACTAAAAACGGTAGACACAGACAATCGACCATACTCATTCTGAATATCGATCACACTTCAAAATTTTGAAGTCCGCTAATGTATTTTTCTTAATTCATGTTTTCTGGACAGACGGACACATAATTAATTTTCGAGACCCTTTCCTTACAGTCAAGGAAATAAAGTTCATGTAGAGTTAGGGTAAATGTGCCTTTTCGTCTTCAACCCAGAAGATATTCTAATTTTGGCGAGGGATATTGCCAAAAATTTTGAAATGAAAATTATTTTCCGATGGAATTTTGTTTTCGCCATTTTGTTTGAAAATTTTTTCTAAGCTTTTGGCAGTACTCTTCCCCAAAACTAGAAAATCTCGATTATCGAATGTACTGAAGACGAAAATAACTTTATTTTCTTTCATCTATTTCACAAATTTTCTGTATTTTATTTCCTTGTCTTTATCAGCGACATTTTTTGTGTTTAGAGATGTCATTTATTCGTCCAAGCTTTTTTCGTCGTCATTTGTGGAATGATCCCTTTGATAATTTCTTAGGTTCTAATTTTGATTGGTATGATCCATTTGATGAGTATGATCGCAGCATTTTCCCGATACATACGCCTCAATTGAATTGGATACGAGAACCTGAACGACGTCGTGCAAGTACTTATCAACGAGGTCAATCGACCGAAAAATTTCGTGTTCAATTAAATGTGGCTGGTTTTACACCCGATACGGTTAAAACAAATATTGAAGGGAATAAATTAATTATTACAGCCAAACAGGAAGAAAGAGATGGTAAAAAGAAAACGATTTTATACTTTTAAAAGTTTTGTGAAATGTCAGAAAACAAAGCCGTTCACAAATAATATTTTTTATATTTCAGGTGATGATTTTCATGTACGTGAATTTCGTAAAAGTTATGATATACCAGAGCATGCGGATAAGTCAAATTTGGCTTCGTATATTACGCCAAATAATATGTTGATTGTTGAACTTCCCGTTAATAATCCCATTCATCAACAACAAATGTTGGATAGCCATCAAAAATATCGAGGTAGTGATCAAAGTGAACATGAACGACAAATAGCTACAACACACAGTGACAGTAATCAAAATGGGCAACAACTGGCTCCAAAGGGTTATTCACCGTTTGATTTCGGCAGTTTTTATGGCAGTACGTTTGGTCCAAAAATTGTTGATGGGCCCAGTGGGGAAAAGAAAATCGACATGAATTTGGATATGAAAGGTAAGCAAACAAATTTTTCATATTGACATTTATTTTTACAATTAAAACTTCTAGGTTACACTCCTGAACAAATTAAAGTATCGGTTAAAGATAATGATGTATGTGTCCAAGCTGAACAATCATATCGTGATAACAATCGTTCATCACGTTCTTATTCCTATAAACAAGTATGTTGACTATTTTGATTTTCTTCTCGTTCCCTTTTTATATCCCCATTCATTTTTTATCTAGGTTACGTTACCTCCTGGCACACAAATTGAAAACTTACAATCAACTTTAACACAAGATGGTCATCTTAAAATAGAAGCACCTTATCGTCCGTTGCAAGGTCAACAAGCAATTGAGAAAGAATCGAGAAAATAGAATAACCGGATGCCAGAATAAGAAACAAGAACGAAAAAACATTTTTCTTTTTTCATAGTTAAACGACAAAGTGCATTCTCTTGTATGTAAGAAAACTTATGTGTTGTATTTTATTATTCTCGCTTTTTTCCATGTAAAGAATTGTCGTAAAGAGAAGAATACTTAGTTTTCAACATTTAAAATAAACTTCTAAAAAACACAAAGATTTCCATTCAGATTCACTTACCCATTACATGACATAAAAGTCTCAAAACTTTCAATACTCCTAGCGTGCAGAGTATAAAATATTACATAAAAATCCTCAGTTTTCCCATATGGAAGTCAGGTTCTGCACACCTTCTCCGGAGTATCACATTTCGACTTTCCTTCTAATAAAACAACTTCGACCTTCATAGGTCCTATCTCTATTAGTTCTATATTGGATGCCTATGACTAACCAACAGTAAAAATTTTCCTTTTTCTTATATCTCTCTCTTCCTTATTGTTTACATTTTACATTGTATATCTGTAAAATTCTTTGTCTTGAAAATGCCAGTAAAACTGTCGAAACGTTAACAAATAAATCTCTAAATGTCAGACAAACAAAAGTTTAAAGCTGCTGTTATCTTAACTAATTTGTTTTTTCATTTTCATTTCTGATAAGAGAACTTTTTGTTTTGTTCGACGTTTAGGAGAGATGAAATTTACTGTTTGATTGTACCGGCCAAAGTTGGTTCCTCTCTGTGCTGTTTTATACATTACGCTTACTTGTAACATATTTTTTGACCTACTACTGTGATATTTACATAAATGATTCTAAATGGCAAGAGAATAACGATAAACACTTCATACATCATCACACAGGTGTTATAACTGATTCACTTCTGTCTTTGTTATAACTATCTACGAAGTAGCACTGATAGAATGTTGCCTGTTCACTTTTCTTTCATCATCATCATTACATACATCTGTCCTACACTTTGTTCTCGAACATCAACAGCATTCAAAATAATTCCATTAGGTGTAAAAGGTGGTAGTGATGAAAGTAATTTGTCCGCTTATCTAGTTACTACAGAAGGATCTTCAGCTTATATCTGTCTGGATGCTGGTACATTGTATGCGGGTGTTTATAAATCAGTGGAATATGGAGTTTGGGGTAAAAATGCTGTACCTGATAAAATATTTCGAGATAACATCAAAGCATATTTAATATCGCATGCACATATTGATCATGTTAACGGGTTAATTACGAATTCAGCGGAAGAACATAAAGATAAAATAAAACCAATTTATGCGTTACGAAATGTCATTGATAATTTGCGAGAACATTATTTCAATTGGAATAGTTGGCCAAATATGGGTAATAATGGACAATATCCGATAAACAGGTACCACTATAATGTTCTTCAAGAAGGAGAAAAACTATCAATTCTAAAAGATCCAGACATTACCGTCACACCATACTCGTTGAGCCATTCAAAAGTGGGATTCTCGTCAAAAACATATGGTAGCACGGCGTTTCTGATTGAATCTCATGGAAATTATTTACTTTATCTCGGCGATACGGGTGCAGATGAAATTGAAAAAACCGATAAACTACAACATCTTTGGTCAAAAGTCGCTCCTTTGATTAAACAAAAAAAGCTTCGGGCAATATTCATCGAAGTTTCATTTCAAAA